AAATACCAAATATGTTTACAATAAAATGGACAAGCCATATTGACCTGACTGTGGGTTAAAAAAAAAAAATAAAATAAAATAATTAGTTTAATAGAAAGTATTAAACAACAATAATAATTTTTTAATTTATTTAATAATATAAAAAATAAACTTTAACAATTAATCAACAATGATATAAATAACTTATATTAAAATCAAAAAAATTTTTTGTAAATCACGTGAAGTTAAATCATGATAAAAATTTTTTTTACATCAAAATTAATTCACTCCACAGAATGCCTACACAAGATCGAAATAAGGGGATTAAAAAGCCTGCGTCAAAACTGTCAAAGCCTTCAAAGCCACCAGAGATCTCGTCGACCAGGACTACCAACAAAATTTTTGGCATAGTGAAAAATTCGGCTAGCACGAAAGCTTCACCAGCAAAAGATAAAAGAGTTACTTTTACCGAATGTCAACACCTAACCGATAATAAAAAAAAGTTGATCAGTAAAAATACCTCTGTTGCGAAACATCCGAGTAAGAAGATACTGAAAGAAAGGATTGAAAAAAAGTCGGAGGAAGATTTGATAGATGAAATTGAGAGTTTAGAGGAAGACCAGGAAAGTGTTTCTTCAGAGAATGATTATGAAAATTTGAGCGAAGAATCAGAAAATGAGGTTTCCGACGATTCAGAGAATTTGGTAAATGATATCGAAATAGATGAATCTGATGATTCAGAATTATCTGAAGAAAATGATGATACACTCCAAGATTCAGCGGCGGATATCGCTGATGAAAACGAAGAGCCTGCTGCGAAGCGAGTCAAAAAAGAAAATCCCAGTATGTTATACATATTTATTATTCTTTTTCTGAAAAATATAATGATCTTTTAACTGTAAAATATCATAATTTTCGCATAGATCAAGCACGAATCAAAAAAGCATTCGAACGGAAAAGGAAGGCAGACCGCAAGCTCGATCCTGAATATATACTAGGGCTTAAAGAATGTTGGGAGTTTGCTCGTAGAATAGATATTTCACCTGAGGAAAGGAGAAAATATATGAATGAACTATTTGAGTTGATTGATGGAATTATACCCGAATTACTGTTTAAGCATGATACTTCACGTATAATTCAAACGGTATTAAAGTATGGCACCAAAGAGCAGATCAGTAAAATTGCTAGTGAATTGGAAGGTCGATGGCTTGAAGCATCAAAGAGTAAATATGCGAAGTTTATTGTTATCAAAATTATGCAATGTTGGTAAGTATATATTATTAAGTATGATTTTTATATTAAAGATTCTCATAATTGCATTTTGGCGGTTAGTTCTAAATATAGAGACAAGATTGTGTCCGAACTCGAAGGAAATGTTGCAAGGTTATTAATGCACTCTGAAGCTCGTAATATCGTTCTTGAAGCCTATGAACTTTCAAACGGAAAACAAAGATTATCATTAATTCAAGAATTCTATGGTCCCGAGTTTACTTTGTTTAAGGCATGTCGATCTATTAATCTTTATGGTATTATCGTGGAACTACTTTAAATAATTTCACATAATTACAGAAAACCAAGGGTCTTAGTATTGGTGATCTTATTTCTGAAAATCCGTCGAAGAAAGATAAAATCGTAGAAAATCTTTATATATTCATACAAAACTTTATGAAAAAGCCAGAATTATTGAGTTTTATAATTCCGCACCGAATTTTATTGGATTTTTTTACTTATGCTGGCGATATTAAAATACGTTCAACCATAGAATTGATTGGAAAACATGTTCCAGAAATTTTACACACTCGAGAGGGTGCAAAAGTAGCAATGTTTTGCTTATTGTACGCGAGCGCCAAGGTAATATTTTAAGGTCTTCTTTTTTTATATCAAAATTATCTAATTAATCGACATTTTGTTTACCCAGGAGCGTAAAGGTATATTACAATCAATGAAAGATTATGTCGACAAGATTTGTTGTGAAGAATATGGTTATTTGGTGTTGTTAAGGGCATTTGATGTTGTTGATGATACTGTCTCGGTGACCAAATACATTATCGACGTATGTATTTAGGAATAATATATTGTCTTCTATTTTTCAGTGTGTATTTCTAATTATTATTATTTTTTTTTATCTTTTTTATTTTTTATGGGTAGAAAATTATTAAGCCTCAATCATTCGAGTCAATATCACGCAATAAATACGGACATCGTGTAATATTATATCTTTTAACTGGAAGGTCGAGAATCTACTTTGGATTTGATACATTAAAATTGCTCGCACAGGGAGATGAAATTCGTGAAAAAACAAGGTTGGTATTTAATCATTTTTTATATTTTTTTGTTGTATATGCTATAATAAAAGATTAATATTTATTTTAAATCGAATACTAATTTATTACGCAGTAAAAAGGACCCGATTGTTAGAGCGAGAGAGCTTCGCAAGGTCATAACCCCTGCTTTAATCGAATATGCTAAGAATAACACTGCTCATATGTTATCCAGTCCATACACGACGCAAATTCTCTTCGAAACGATGCTTTGTGGGGAATCCAGTGCCGAAGAAAAAACGCCGGTTTTGGAGAACATAGCAAGTATAATAAGCGAGAAAAGAATAGATAGTGAAGATAATATTATGCTTACGTACGTTAATAGGTTTTTAAAAGTTTTGGTTCAAGGAGGACATCGGAGATATCCTAAACGAAATATTGCAGAAAAAGACAATCCATCCGATTATATTGGATCTATCGATGGAAAACCTATTATCGGCGACAACAAGGGAGATGGTTCTAGAGATGAAAAAGTTGAATTGCACTTTGCAAAAATATTGTTTAATACCATTAAGAATGATTTATTATATTATTCATGCCATGTTACAGCGTCATTTGTAGTTTTGGCATTATTAGAAAACCATGAAACAAAAGAGGAGGTCGGGTCTATTTTAGTAAAAGGCATGGATTCTATTAGAAATGCTGCTCTTGAAGATGATAGGTCAGGTGCTTCGTTAATTTTAAAAGCCCTTAGCGAATTGTCATTTCATAAACAAAAAGGAGACACTAAAAAGGTGGAAACCAAGAAAAGGTCGAGTGTAGTTAGCAGAGGAAAAAAGGGTGGAAAAAGACGAAAACATAACGCAGATGCTTAAAAAATTTTTTTTTGGTTTTCCGATTAATCAGCGCTGTAATCTTATCAGACAATAAATTAAATGTTAACTCGACTGTCAATAGCAAAGTTAAAATTACGTTCATTGACTACAAGGCTTTGAAGTGTATTAATTTCTATTTGATTTTATATTTTAAACTAAATAACCATTAAAATTATTCTTATTATAATAAGGTTTTCAACTCAGTAACTTAAGATTGAATAAATAAGCACCAAATAATATATAACTTCATAATTAAACATATTTTAAATAATTATTTTTTTTAACTTGATTTACAACTGGTATCTTAAAAAATATAATATATTATTAATCGATTGGTATGTAGTTAATAATAATAAACTATGGATTTATTTATTGATGATATACAGTATATATATAGTATTAGAATAGTTAAGTTATTTAATATTTTTGATTATAATTTAATGAAAAATATATTATTTTCTTTATAATAGTAAAGAGTTGAATATTATTAAAGTTATAATATTATAAGGAAGTTTTTTCTTCAAAAACTTATTAAATCTAAAATTATTTTTTATTATATAATTAAAGTTTAATTTTTTTAAAAACTTTTTATTTATTTTGATTTTATTTTAAATTTTTGATTATATTGAGTTTCTAAAATTTTATTGAATAAAAATTTAGAAATAAATAATATTATTTATAATAGATAATAAAAATATTATTATTTTTTTTTTTAACTCTTGTCAAGCTAGTTATATATGTTTTATTAATATATTATAGGTCATATTAATTTCAATATCATTAAATCTAGATTAATAACTAACTTACTTAACTTAGTTTGTTTTCAAACTCTAAGTATAACCTTGAAAGTGATTTGTTATTTTGTTTATGGTTTGGGTTAACACTTTGCAATTCACTATTACAGATCACTGATTATAATTATAACTGAGTTTAGAATTTAATCATTTCATTTTATTTTTGATTCCTATTATTATGATCTTGATAAAATCTTCACTTGAATATTTCTCTTTTATAGTTTCTTGTTTCTTCTTTGTAATTTTTATTTTTTTTTTGTTGTAGAGAACTTTAAATGACTCTTTATTTTATTCTTTCAGAAAATTCTTAAGTCTTTTTCCATATTATTATACTTTTATATCTTTTATTTCATACTTCATTCTTAAAGTGATTTAGAACTTTCTTTTAATTATAAAGTATTTATTTTCTGATTATATTTTCTATTCTTATTTCTTCATTGTTCAATTTCTCTATTTCTATGAGTAGGTCTATTTTAACTAATTCTATAAAGAAATTGATTATATCTTGATTTTCTTTGGACACTTTTTCTATGAAGTTCATTATCTAATTTTCTATTTTCTTAAATTTTTTTTATTATTTATCAATATATTATCACAATTTTTTTGAGTTTTCTCTTTTTGTTTCTTTTTTGCTTTTTGAAATTTTTATTATATTACTTTTATTCCCTTTATTCAAAATTTTTTAACTTTATTTTTGTAAAATAAATATTTTATCAAATATTTTATTTTTTCTTTTAATTTTTACATATAATGCAGTTATTGTTCTTGTATATATCAGATCTTTTTATTTCTAGTCTAGACAAAGTAAATAGCTTATTTCTAATCAATTTAATCAAAAAACTTTTTCTTTGTAAGCTTTTAAAAGATATGTTTCATGTGTATACCTTTGTTAATCTCTATTATATTATTTCCTATAAGTATTTTAATAATTTATTATCTGAAAGCTCCATTTATTCTTAGTTCAATTTTGTTGAGTCCAATGATATATTGTTATTTTATTGTTTATTTTTTTATAAATTGCCTTATAGAACTTTCTAATATTATATCTTGCCATTTGTTCTCTATAATAATCTTGTCAGATTTAAAGTTTTTTCATATAATTATTGGAAAATCTAGTGCTTCTTTGGCTATTTTATTGACTATTTTATTTTTTATAATATTAAAGTAAACTTTATTTTAATTAGTATTAATATTAGATTTTTTATTTTGATTATATTTAATATTTTCATTCAGAAAATCAAATTTTTTTCTTTTAACTATCTTTTGGGATTTATTCTTGAATCATTTTTTCTCAAAATATTTTATTTAAAAATACATGTTTGACTATCTGTATTAATTTTGATTGAGCTTTTTACTAATGTTACTAGTAATATTATGATCATAGCAATTAGTTCTGCTCTTGTAAAAGATGACCAATCTTGTATTTTTGCCTAAAATCTGCTTCCTTATCTTTTACTACCATCTGGATTCATATCATTTCCATTTTAATTGTATCTTTTTTATAATTTATTAATGATCCATTTGAATAGAATCTTAATATATCTTATATTCCTACATTTCTTTTTAAAATTTCTTTTAGACCATCTTGAATATGTTTTTCAATAATTTTAGTTTTCTATTGTTCAATTACTATATATGATATTTGGTCTTTAGGATTTATGGTTATTTTAGTAGGTTGAATTTTATTAATGGTTTTTTGTTCAAATATTTCTCTTCTTATTGAAAACTTTAGATACCTAGTTTTTCTTATTATTTTTCTTTTGTTCAAGAATATTATTTCATGGTTATTATTAATGGTTTTTGTATTTATAAAACATGAACTATCCATAAGTTTTTCTTTGAAACATTCTGTATATTGGGTTAATATTATTTTGTGACTATCAGGTTATTCTTTATAATTGAAATATATTAACTCTTTTTCATTTCTTGACACTTTTCCTTAAATTAGTTTATTGGGATTTTTGTTAAAGATATATTAGACTTTCTATTTTTTGTCTTTTTTTTATCAAGTATTGAATAGTTTAATTTTTATAAAATCTTATTATTGTTCCAACTTTTAATGATTTCTTCTATTGTTTTTAGTGATATTAAGTTCACAAGTTTATTGTACTTTCTGGAACTGGATCTTTTTTTTTATATTGAAAGAGTTGGATTCATTATTATTCTTTTAGTTTTATAGTTTCTATTTCTATAATTTGTTCTAAATATATTAATATATTGTTGTATAACAATATGATAGTTTTTTTATACTCTTCTTTTGTCAAGTGTTCTTGGATTAGATTGTTTCTTCTCTTTCATTCGAATATCTCATACCATTTTCAACTTTGAAATATTATTTTTATATCTCTAGCTATTTTGAGTATCTATAGTACAAAGTTATTCATAGTGATTGTTAGATTTAATATTTTGCAATTAAATAAGTTTTGAGATTTCCAATATCTTAATTGTGGCTATTTAAATTTGATGATTGTTGTGAGATCTGCTGAACCTTATTATAAGGACTCATAATTTGACTTTCTTTTTATAATATTATATGCTTTTAAGATTATAAATTTTTAGATAGTATATTGCACTATTTTAAATTGTTCTACATAATTTACTTTTGATTTTAAACAACTTTAAAAATCTTGTTATAAAGTTATCACATATCTTTTATGATAACATATTATGTTGCATTTAGAATTTTATTCTGGATATTAGAATTCTATTCAATATATTATATATAAGATTTGTTTGTTTATTATTTTTTCTTTTTTAAAATTCTCATAATCATATCAATTTTTCTATAAATTTTTTTTTTTGTTTTCATAGAATTTTTCTAATTTTCTATTCAGATATTCAAAAATCTGATATATTTTTTTCTATCTAGTTCTTTAATTTTTTTATTATTAATTTTAGCTTTAATTCTATCAAGATATTGATCAGAGTTATTGATAATAATAAATACTGATTTACTACTATTAATCTAGAAGTCATAGACTATATAAAATATTCTTGTTGTTTTTAGAATCTACTTTATATCTTTTTTAATAATACTATTTAGATAGTGTCATCCATAAAAGCAATTGTTATATATTTAGATTCTAGTTTATACTTTTTCTTTTTTTTAAGATCTAGATTTTATTTAACTGAAATTTTGTAGCTACTATTTTTATTATTTTGAATTTTATATAGTAGTAAAACATAAAATATTTTTATAGGAAAGGTGAAATAGTTCTGTCATAATCTATTCTATCTCAAGCTATTATTGGTTTTATTATATTATTTTCATATATTATTCTAAACTTCCTATTTTCAAAGAGATCAATTATAATTTTGATAAAGCTTAGGAAAATTTTAATTCTTTTTATTACTTTATATAACATATTTAGGCTTATAGTATGATATACTTTAACCGTATTTTGAAAAAGTATCTATAATTCTTTTTTGTTTTTTCTTGTCTCTTTATAAATATTGTTTAATACTTGAATCGATTTTACAATACTTTTTTTAGATAATTTAGTATAATTTGAACCTTTTAAGATTTCATATATATTATAAATACTACTTAATCTATTGATAATAAGCTTTATAAAATATTTTTGAGTGATTTCAAGAAAACCAATTGACCTTATGTTATAAAGTTTACTTTCCATAATTTCAGTTTGACAATTGAATAGATATAACTTAGTTTGTATTTATTTAAGATAATTTCTATTTACAGAAATTTGTTGAAAATTTTCAAAATTATTCTTTACTTTGAATATTTATCTTTTTGATATTTTATAACAAATTTATAATTTTTAGGAGCTTTGTTGTTTGATAGTGATTGAATAGTTTTATTAAATTCTTCTTGTGACATTAATTCTATTAGCTCTATATATCAGTTTTTATTAATATCTGTCTTAAGTTTATATTTTTTTTTTTACTCTTCTGTTAAATAATTGAAATTTTTTTTAAAAACTTCTTTATAATATCTTCTAAGTTTTTTTTTAATGTTTTCTTTTTTTTGTTATGGTATATTCTTAATTATAATATATAGTCTTGATCTTATTTAATATTATCTTAATTTTTTCTCATATAATATTGAGTTAATTATTTTTCACTAATTGTTTTTCAGATCATCATATATTTATTCTAATCCTCTTTTGATTTTTTCTTTTGCTATTTATTTTCTTTACTCTGGCAGATAGTTTTGAGTATCTCAATTGTACTCTGTATTTCTTT